GTTATAATAGCAAGGCAGTACAATGATCACAACCTAGCAAGAGTAAACATGCAGGTATAAATATATATAGCAGTGTACAACAAGAGCAAGTCAAGCAACCAGCAGGTGAGGTAGAGTGGGCACAAGCCCAAGAGCAGTGCAGAAACGCTGATGATCACCAGCCCCACGGCCCAAGAAGCGTCAGAGTGTCCTGTGAGGACCACCAAACCCCGTCCTCCAAGCACGAGCCCCATGCCCGATGTGCTGCACAAGTAACGCAATACCCTCTTCGCAGCATCAAAGTGCACCTTTCGGTGTCTACCGGGTGCCACGTAGCAAGCCAAAAGGCTCAAAGGGTACGCGAGGTCAGGTCGTGTGCACGTCATCAGGTACATGAGGCAGCCCACAAGCTCTGGGTACGGACCACTTGGCTCTACGGACTCGTCCGAAGTTGGAGCTGAGAGCGAGTGGCCGGTAGCCAGAGGAGTGGGCTGTGGTGAGGAGTACGTGAAGCGGAAGCGCTGTAGGACCTGGTGCACCATGTGTGACTGAGTCAGGGTGATGGTGCGCCGTGCTCTGTTCCGGGTGATCTGCAAGCCAAGATAGCTCCGCAGCTCACCCAGGTCAGTGCAGGTGTGTCTCTCCTGCAGCTCCGCCTTCACTAGGACCAGTGCCTCAGTGTCAGCAGTAGCAAAAACCAAGTCGTCGACGTACACGAGGATGTAGAACGACGGCAGAGTAGTGTCGGTGCGTAGAAACAGCGACGGGTCAGCAGTCGAAGGAGCAAACCCAAGAGCCGCAAGTGTCGTCCTCAGTGTGTCGTGCCACTCGCGGGGCGCCTGACGCAAGCCGTACACTGGTCGCCGTAGGCTCCACTGGGTACCCTCGCGAAACGACCCAGTGAAGCCCTGTGGACGGCGCAACCAGATGGCCTCGTGAAGGCTACCCTGCAAGAAAGCTGTCGAGAAGTCGAGGGAGTGCAGCTCGTAGTCACGCTGAGCTGCAACGTGTAGCAACACCCGAAGAGTGGTCATCTTCGGGGTGGGGGAGAAGGTCTGAAAGAAGTCGACCCCCTCACGCTAACTGAAGCCTCGAGCAACGTAACGTGCCTTGAAGGCAGGCGGAGAACCCGGCGGCCGCTTCACCCTGAAAATCCACATGCCACTGACGATGTTCGCCCCAGGTGGGGGAACCTCGTCGACGTAGGTATCTGTGGACTTCCAGGAAGCCATCTCTGCGTCCATGGCTGTCTGCCATTGAGAGGAGTACTCACCGGAAATCGCCTCCCTGTAGGAGCGCGGGATGGGGATGTCAAGTGCATCCGGGTCTCTCTCAGGGGCAAGCAGCATGGTCGCGTGATGGGGTGAAGCGGCAGCAAGGCACTCCAGCTCCTCATGTCTGTCCTCAAGAACGTCACAGCCAAGGGCAGTGCAGCCAAGAGCAGTCTCACCCCCGACGGACGGAGGACAGGCAGGGACAGGGTCAGAGACAAGACTCGCAAGTTAGTCGAGGCGGTACACAGCAGCAAAGTCAACGAGCTCAGCTACTAGGGCAGACGCAGCAGGAGATGAGAACGTAGGGTCCGTCACAACCATAGCAAGAAGGCGAGTAACAGTCGGACTGGACGCACGAGCAAGGTCAGACGGAGGGTCAGCAACGTCAGGCAAAGAGGACGCAGGAGATAACGGTAGGACAACATGCTGAGGAACAGAGGAAGGACGGAGTGTCATATCGTGAGTGCCGGGGACAGCCGGAGCACGCTGACGACGAACACGAGGAAAACGAGCACGGACAGCAGCTCTAGGCTCAGGCTCAAGGTCAAAGCTAGACTCAGGCTCTCGACGCTCAGGGGTGGAAGCACGAGTCTCAGGCTCTCGACGCTCAGTCAGGGACTCTGACACCGCAGTGTAAGGAGCAGGAGCAGGCAGTGGGGAGTGTGGTAGCAGCGGCGGCTGTGACTGGTCCGCCGGTGGACACAGCAACGGAGGAGTAGTACCTGCCACAGGGAAGCCAGTAGCACCTGGCTGAAGACTGAGAAGGTGGCGAAGAGCACCAGTAGCTCCACCAGGACCTCCAGCACCTCCAGCACCTCCAGCCCCAACAGCTCCAGCTCCTCCAGCACCAGCAGCTCCAGCAGCTCCACGACCTCCAGCACCAGCAGTACCTCCAGTACCTCCAGCACCAGCAGCTCCACGACCTCCAGCACCAGCAGCACCTCTAGTACCTCCAGCACCAGCAGCTCCACCAGGACCAGCAGCACCTGCAGCTCCCCGACCTCCAACACCAGCAACACCTCCAGTACCTCCAGCACCTCTAGGACCTCCAGCACCAGCAGCACCTCCAGGACCTCCAGCACCAGCAGTACCTCCAGTACCTCCAACACCAGTAGCTCCAGGTCCTCCGGTAGGAGCTCCGACGACACCAACACCAGAAGGACTCAGCCTTGATTGATTGATTGAGAAGGTTGATGTTAATTTGATGTAAATACAACAGTATATGCAGTCTAGTTACATCGATTTATTGACAGTGTCAGCCTCGTTACATTAGAATTTATTATATCTCTTTTCTCTCCAAAAGGCCATTGTCTTTTGCCTTTCTATTTTTCCATATACTCTCCTCCCATTGCCTAGCATTTGGAGACCATGCATCCTACACCGTCATTGAGTCTAGAACCTTCGTTCAAGTCAGCTTGTTTCGAGTTTACACGGCTGTTCGGTCGAATCCGTAGTGGCTGCTCCTGCTTCCAGCACATCAATCCCGTTCTTCTCAAGAATACCGAAACGACAAACGAATCCCACGCCAAACAAAAAAACCGTATCGGGGCAGTCTTTCTTGGCTAGAAACGCATGCTGGCGTGTCGTGGGTGATATTTGTCTGCTCCACTCCTTCACCACGTGACCATGAAGACTTCAACATTCTTCATCAGTCTGGGTTCTTGAGAAAAGCAGCATGTGGCGTAAGCGCAGCATTTTTTCTGTACACATGATGTCCGCTAAGTACCCACAACTTTTTTCGTCATTTGGGTGTTTAGTGAGCAACAGTTTTTTCGCCTGCTCGCCAACATTCGCCACGGGCAAAATTTGGTCTGTAGTGGGCAGGTGAAGAAATGTAACCAGCGCCTTCAAAATATCTCGCGAACGGACAGATGCCAGCGTGATAAGCTGTATGTTCAACGGCTGCGATCAAAGTATGGGCTTGTATCGTGCGTGCAACTGGCTGGTACCAAATGCAATTGGGCAGGCTGTCGAATACGGGAGGACCAAATGTGCGTGCAACAGCTGAGCATCGTGTGTACTTTAGAAAGATATGTGAAGGCCTCAATTTGGTCCCCGCAAATATTGTTTCAATTGTTCCAGAAAGCTTTTACCAACCTAAGGACGAAGGTTGGCTGGTGCATGCATGCCCAAGTCAGCAGCGGGATCCCCCACTTGAGCCGAGTGGAGACAGAATCACCTTTGTACTTTTCGCTCTGCTGTCAATTCCAGCCAATCCCGCTTTTCAAATTGAACAGCTGGGGCAGGCATGGCAGCAAAATCTGAATTTGCAGTTCCGTCACACAATTTGCCTTCCCTCGGTCCTAAATTCTCGTGCCGCATCTACAGTAGTACAGGCAGCGCTGCACTGCTCTGCCCTGCAGCAGCACTCAACTCGTCATTGCTGTGTGGTGTCTGCTCCTCCGACCTCCTCGCTGCTCCACCTTGCTTCTGGTTTCTTGGCTAAAATCTGCAGCGCTCGAATCAGCAGCCTCCGTTCACTCCACACCACACCGTACCACCATTGCGCTTCTCATCGGCAAGCACCAAAACGCACCTCACCACGTCCAACCGTTCCTCACACACGACACGCAAACTGCGCATAATTCGTCCCTCTCTCCATGGCGACCCATTAAACCACTGATCCTTTCTCACTTACTCGATAGTATCTCAAAGCTAAAATAAACCCCTTTCTCTCACATGTTGGCCCTCGCAATGGCTTCGCCCATGTTATTACCGATAGACTGGGCGCCTCGTACTTACGAGACCGCGTCCTCAAACCTCGCCGGCTGTCCCGCCGAAACCCCGGACGACGAGCTACTAGATATCGACTTCCTCCGCTCCTTTTTCTCCGCGGGCTCCCCCAGCCCCGCCGCCGCCGCCGTCGCAACTGTCGCCGCGGCCGCCGCCGCCGCTCGCGGCGCAGGAGCCGCTGTCGCGCTCTCCGCAGGTGCCGCCGCCGCCGCAGACGCGGCTGCGCTCGCGTCCGCCTCCGCTGCAGCGTCTGCTGCTGCCGCTGCGTCGCAGAATTCATTTCTGGGCGTGGGTATTTCTTCGAGTATTAGTTACGGCCGTGGAACGGCGTCTTTATCAGCCAGTCACGGGGAAGATCGGTGGACTCCTCTATCTCCTTTCTCCTCTCCCTTTCCCCCTTTTTCACCCGTTTCTCCTTTTGCGCCGCGAGACTTGAGTTTTTCCGCAGTCGGCGATGCCCCTCCTCTCCCATCCCCTTTTCCTCCTACTTACACCCCGCGAAGTCCCCACCTCCGCCCCACCTCCGCCGCCCCCCCGCTCACCCCGCCGCCCGCAGCTTCCTCCCGCCACACCCCTTTTTCGGACGGTCCGTCCCCGCAAAGCCCGCGCTCTTTCTCCGCGTTGCCCGTGCTGGCGCGCGCCACGAGCCTCGGCAGCGCAATGGCCGCCAACGTCAGCAATTACTTCTTCCGCGCATCCACCCCCGCCGCTACTCTGATTTCCGCCGCCGCCGATACCGGCGCCGCCGCTCTTCCTGCCGCATCCCCGCCTTCTGTGGGTCGACGTGCCGCCGCGGCAACGGCTCCTTCTCCCCTGATGAAAACGGCGGCTCCCCCCCAGGACGGCGCAGCGGCGACGTATGGTCGAAATGCGCGCAGCAACAATGCGGCGGCGGCAGCAGCGGCGGCGGCTGACGTCCCCGCTGGGAGGAGCTCGGTCCCCGGACCGCGGCCGTTACAAGAAACATCCTCGCAAGTCCGAGGCCTGAGCCCGAGGCTTGGTGTGGGAGTTATGATGGGAGCTCGAGGCGATTTGGGTATTGAGGTTGAGACAGAGGAGGTTCTGGAAGGGAAAGGGGAGGAGGCGGAAGAGGAGGCGGAAGAGGAGGCGGAAGAGGAGGAGAGCTGGGCGGCCTCCGCCACTCTTCAGGCGGAGCTGCGCGCGGTAGTGGGCGCGGACGGCCCTTGCGCCATTGCGCGCCAAGATTGGTCACGCACCCCCGTGTCCCCTGCGCCAACGCCGCGGGGCGGAGCTTCCGCGTGCGCGCAGCAGACGCCGCGCTCCGCGCAGGAGGCGCGCATGCAGCTGCTGCAGGCGCAGCTGGAGCTGCTGGAAACGAGCAAGGCGGTCTCCGCGCTGAAATGCGCGCGGCACGTCGTTCAGATGCCCGGACACTCCGCGCGCTACAGCAGCTGCGCCGGGACTGCCGGAGGCGGAGACGGCGAGAACAGCGGCAGTGGCAGTGCGACTGGCAGTGGCAGTGGCGGGAGCAGTAGCGCTAGCAGTCCGAGATTCGGCGGAGCGAACGGGAGCGCGCAAGCGGATAGCCCCCGGTCGGAGGGGAGCTTCAGCTTCGGGGAGATGATTAGTCCGCGCGCGCACGACGCGCAGCACGCGGGGGAGCTGGAGTTGGAACTGCAGCAGCAGCAGCAGCAGCAGCAGCAGCAGCAGCAGCAGCAGCAGCAGCAACACCGCCACCGCCAACAGCAAGAACAGGGGGAGGAGAGGGAGGAGAAAGAAGAAGAGGTTTTCTACCTCCACTCGCCGTCGTTGCCGTCGTCACCGTGCCAGCAGCAGGCCTGGCACCTTCCAGAACGCCTGGGAGGCTCGTTGCAAGAACGGGCAACAACAGGTGGCATCGGTAACAACAGCAGCAGCGACAGCAGGTGTGGGAGTAAGAGTGTCAACAGCAGGAGGAGCGGTGGTGGCAGTGGTACCGGTTCCAGGCAAGTGAGCTTGCAAGGTGCTGCCACGGGTGCTTCTGCAGCAATGGCGATGGGGTCAGCGGTCCTGGCGTCAGTGGTGCCACGTGTCATCACCTCACCACATGCGGGCACGTCACCCCGGATGGAATTTCCTTCGCCCACTGGGTTTTCCTTCAACCTGAGCCCAAACTCTTGTGCTACCTCTCTTCCCTTCCGGCAATCTGCTACCGCTGTTAGCCGCACTGCCAACACACGCAGCAGCAGCATCACAGCCAGCACCAGAACCAGCACCAGCACAGCCAGCACTGCCAGTACCACCAGCGCCATTGCTGCAACCTTCTTCTCATCCTCCTCCTCCTCATCCTCTCCCTCTGCTTCCTCTGACACCTCCTCTCTGCCTCCTCCTCCTCCCATGCTGCACCTCCCTGCTGTTAAACGGGTGGAAAGGCAAGGGGACTACGAGCGAGATGGTGGGGAGGAGGAAGGCGAAATGGAGGGCGAGGGGGAAGAAGTGTCCTCGTGGGAATTGCAGGGCCGAGCACCCTTGCTCTCAATACCTTTGTGCAAGTCTGAAGGAGGGGGTGACGCAGCGCGATGGTGGGATGGGGATGGGGATGGGGATGGGGATGGGGACGCTGTTGGGGATTGGGGTGGTGGTGAGGGGATGGACGGGAGGGCCAGGGTGGAGGGAGCCTGGGCGAATCAGGACGGAGGGAAGGCAAGGAGTGGTGGCCTGGGCCGTCCCGGGAGGCTTGCTCGCTTGCTTCACGCCACGGCCACCACCAGCAGCAGCAGCGGAGGCGGCGGCAGCAGTGCGGGTGCCAGGTTGCGGGAGTCGTTGCGCAGAAGTGCGTCGTCGTTCCTTGGTTTCAAGGTTCAGTAGGTGGCTTCTTCCTTCGCAATTCGCGTGTCCCCCCCCCCCCTCCTTGATGCATTCCAGTCACTCCGGCTTACCTTTCGAAAAGTTATCATTTGTTTCTTGACGCACACTCCGTCCTTGAGATTTTGAACCGAGAACTCAGGGTTTTGATTCTATGGTACAGTAAAGTGGTTCAGCAGAATGCGGGATTGACTGATCAGGTATCATTCTGAAGATAGAGTCTGATTTTCCTGCTGTACACTGAAGTTGCTAACCAAATGGCCATGAAACCGCCGGGAAAGGAAACCGCTCTGCCCGGGCTGACAGCTGACTGGTCCTTCAGCTCTCACGATCACATCCCTGCCCGACTGTGGCCACCGTTCCAACCTCGCTGACAGCACTCTCCCGCTCCAATCTATTCTTCTTCTCCAAACCCCAGCTCTCTTTTTCTTGTTGCGAAGTCTAGCCACCGTCTTTTTCCACGCCCTAGCCATGGCCCGTAAGCGCAAGAGCGTAGCTAGTACTGCTGACTTGTGCCCGCGGGATCTCAACGAGATCCCGTACATCGCTTGGATGAACAAGCAGATCGCGGTCGGCCGCAAGCACGCCGGCCCTTTGCCTGAAGGAGTGCCTGGTGCGGGGGACACCTCGTTCGAAGCCCCGCGCGATGTTCCTACCCGCAGACGCCGTCATGCCGACCGAGTTGCCTCATCCCGCGTCAACGACGATGCTGCCTTCGATGACGACGATGACGCCGCGGACTCTGATTACAACGAGTGCGACGAGGCCTGCGACGACGACGCGGATTCGGGCGAGGAGGAGGACAAGGGCATGTCCCCCTCCGAGGATGAAGCTGACGCCGATGACGGCGACGGCGCTCCCGAGGAAGGCCAGCCTGCGACCCCGGCTCCCCGTCGCGGCCGTGCCTCTGCCGCTGCGGGAACCAAGACTGCTGCGAAGGGCGGGGAACCTCCGCGTGCCGCTGCCAAGACCCGCAACCTGCATCATGTTAAGCGGAGCGTGTGGTCCCCCCGCGAGAACACGATCTTCGTGGCTGCACGTTGGTTCATGAAGGACGAGCTCGGACCCCTCCTCGAGAAGCTGGGCTTTCAGTACTGGGCCCACCTCGCGCTCCACCTCGAGCACTTGAACTCTGCTACCGCACCACGAGTCCACCATGGGTCCCGGTTTCGAGGCAAGTTTGCCCACGATGCATTGACGCGCCTCACTGCGCCCATCGTTTCGCACATGTTGTGCAAGATGACGCCACAAGACGCCCCTGCAAGAATGCGCCAGAGCTTGCAGTCATTGCGGCCCGCAAATAGACGCCACCGGCCTTTGAAGGCGCCGATGCAGCGCTCTACTGCCATGCGCGTTGCGCTTTGGCAATAGTTAAAGTACTGCTCCCAGTCATCCATTAGGCCTTCACTGGGTGCATGTAGGGGGGTCAAGCAGAAGTCCCTGAGTGGGTAGGCAGCATCTCCCACAATTTGGTATGGCGCTATGTCGCCGTTGTGCAACCTTTCGTGTAACGCGCTGTTCATGAACACTCTCTAATCATGCGCATTGCCCGGGTATCCGATCAAATAGTCCCATATGATGCCTCGCGCATTGCATGTTACCTGCAGTTGGACGGCGTAACATGACTTCCGCGTGTAGTACTCTTGCCTGTGCCCCTCCATCCCCTTCATGGGAATGTGTGTGTCGTCTATAGCCCCCACTACCGCAGGTACCCCCTTGATGGCGCGGAACTCCTCGGCCATCTCATCGAGGTCGTCACGGGTCGGGAAGTGGACCCACCGCTGCTTGAAGACGGACGGGAAATGCATGAGGAGCGCGTCAACAAGCATGTGGCACAGGGTCTTGGACAGCCCGAACACGGACGACAAGTCTACGAATGACATGCCGCTGGCCAGGTATTTGATAGGGACAAGGCATGCCACTTCGTGACTGATGAGGTACCTGTCCACGTACGGCTGCATGTAGTGCGCCATCCCGGCGACAATGTATTCGAGAATAGCACGGTTTATGCGAAACAAGTATCTGAATTGATCCTCCCCCATGCCTTCCAGGTCCTCTAGCATCAGGTGGTATCTCCGCCCGCGTAGCCCAGCCCTTCTTTTCCGCTCGGCGGTACGGTTGGAGCCGCGAGAGCTAGATGACGAGGGCACCTCGTCGGTGAAGACGTTCGCCTCCAGCAGGCCACCGACCGACCTGGCGATGGCGTCCATGAAGATGCTGTAGTAGAACGTAACCCATGCGACAAGCAGTCGCATGAGGAATGGCACCTCGCGGGCCGATGCCATGGTTGCTAGATAGCGGTGCAGTTTATGACTGTGAAGCATTATAATTTTTAAATACACATTGTGTTTTTTAAAATTGTGTATTGTGAAAGCGAAGCTGCTTGTACTGCACAATTGGCATCGTCGAAGCGCGCTAAACGCTCTTCTCCAACTACAAAAACCGTGGGTTGGAGTTCATTTCCCTCCACCCACGTTTCTCGATTTTCAAATGGCTCACTCAACATTCCCACCACCCACCCCAGAGTAAACCGCCTTGCTAATGCCACTTGGATAGGGTACATCTTACCTAGTGTTATTCGTGTCAAAACATAGAGCTATGTCTATTTCACTCTAGGTTGTGTAGGGGTCATCCCTTAGAGGGTACAACCCAATTCTCTCGATACTCTTGTCTCCCTTACCTAATCTCATTCCTCACCTAGCTAGTGATTGTAACATGGTATTAAGAGCACAATGCTCCTTAGGACCGAATTTTTAAAAGGGCCCACCACTACTATTTCGATCTACTGCCCGAGTCGCGCCCCTAGGAGAAACGCGAAATTCGAAACCGTGCTCTAGGCGAGACGGTTCCTTTTTCTGCCCTATAGACGCGATTTTCCTTCCTAGTCACGTGCGACCCCCCCTGACTGCGCCCTAGCTGCCAGTACAGCCCGCGTAGGCCCGTAGCGAAGCCCGTAGAGCCCGCGTAGGCCCGTCGCGAAGCCCGTACAGCCCGCGCCAGGCCGTCGCGCAGCCCGTACAGCCCACGTCAGGCCCGCACCCAGCTCGTAAAGCCCGCGCCAGGCCCGCACGCAGCCCTTACAGCCCGCGCCTGGCCCGCACGCGGCCCGTGTTACTGCTGCACTCGCTGCTGCTGCTACACTGCTGCGCCTAAACTGCTGCTGCAGTGCTGCTGCCGCCTGTACTGCCCTGCAACTGCTGCTGCTACTTGCTGCAGCTGCTCCTCCTTGCTGCTGCTGCTGCTGCTACTTGCTGCAGCTGCTCCTCCTTGCTACTGCTGCTACAGCTAGCGCTACTCACTGCTGCTGCTACTGACGCTACTCCTGTTACATCTAGCGCTACTCACTGCTGCTGCTACTGAAGCTAGTGCTGCTACAGCAAGTGCTACTGCTGCTGCTGCTACTACGGCACTTGCTACAGCTGCTACTGACTGAAGCTACGGCTGCTACAGCTAGTGCTACTGCTGCAGCTCCTACTCCAGCACTTACTGCAGCTGCTCCTGACTGAAGCTACTGCTGCTACAGCTAGTACTACTGCTGCAGCTCCTACTACTTTACTTGCTACAGCTAGTGCTACGGTTGCAACTCCTACTACTTCACTTCCTACAGCTAGTGCTACTGCTGCAGCTCCTACTACTGCACTTGCTACAGCTAGTGCTATTGCTGCTCTGCCACTGTGTCCGAGACGCGCCGCCCAGCCCGAGCTGTCACTGCTGCTGCTACTGCAAATACTACTGCTACAGCTAGTGCTACTCGGTCTACTGCTGCTGCTGCTGCTGCCCGAGCCCGCCCTCCTACTGCTGCTACTGGAGGGAGTACTGCTGGGAGTGGTGGAGGTGCGGCCTCCCACCCCCACCGAACCGCCCTGCTGCTGTTACTACTGCTGCTGCTGCTACTTGTGCTACTGGGAGTGGAGGAGGTGCTGCTGGGAGTGCAGGAGGTGCTGCTGGCGCTGTAGGAGCTGGAGGTGCTAGACCTACTCCTGACAGTCACTGTCTGTCATGGCCACTTCCGCGGCAGTCGCTGCGGCCAGGGGTGGACAGCAGCGGGCACTGCTTCTCCCGGACGACCCCACCCCTCGGCAGCTTCGTGAGTGGGTTATTCAGCGAGGTCGTCCAGGTGGTGGAGGTTATCGTTCTGTTAAGACCGCTGCTCTTGGTGTTAGTGAGTCTGCTGCCACTCCAGGTGTTAGTCAGTCTGCTGCCAATCCAGGTGTTAGTGAGTCTGCTGCCACTCCAGGTGCTAGTGAGTCTGCTGCAGCTCTAGGTGCCCGTGAGTCTACCGACGCTCTAGTTGCTAGTGCGTCTACTGCCACAGGTCCTGCCTCAGCTGAGATCTTGCACACTTTCACGCTTGACTCCGGCGCGTCACGTTGCTTCTTCCGTGATTGCACCACAGTCACACCACTCACAGCAACTGTCCCAGTCTCACTGGCTAACCCCTCTGGGGGCCCAGTGGTTGCGAGAGCCTCCGCGGTCCTCCCTTGTCCAGCAGTCCCCTCCGGCTCTTTGTCAGGTCTCCACCTCCCCACGTTCTCGACGAACTTGGTGAGCAACACTGCCATTCAGGATGTCTGAGTTGATACCTTTATTCCTGGAGGGCAGCGTTTGGCGATCTGTACGTGCTCTTGGACTGGCCGTCACCTGCTACGTTCACTCGACAGCCTGGGTCTAGTCTGTACACACTGACCACTGCGTCTGCACAGGTGGCTGAGTCAGATCAAGTAGCTACGTCGAGTCGAGCGTCTGCGTCAGGGCAGTTAGCTGCGTCTTGCTCGTGCCGAGTACTCACGCACGAGACTCAGCGCTGGCACCACCGTCTTGGTCACCCCTCTCTGCAGCGTCTGCGCCGCATGCACTCCCGGCTCCTGGTCACTGGCCTCCTTGAGACCCTGCCCCCCCTCCCGCGCTCACTTGCGCCGCCGTGCCTTCCTTGCGTCGAGGGGCGGCAGCGCGCCGCTCCTCACTCCTCCGAGTTTCCTCCGACCACTGCTCCTCTGCAGACTCTTCACATGGACGTGTGGGGCCCGGCCCCCGTCAGTGGAACGGACCAGGAGCGTTACTTCCTGCTGGTGGTTGACGACTACACACGCTACACCACAATCTTCCCCTTGCGGCGCAAGGCGGATGTCAGTGGTGTCTTGGTCCCCTGGATCCGTGCTACTCGTCACCAGCTGCGCGAGCGGTTTCGGCGGGACTTTCCAGACCTGCGTCTGCACTCTGACAGGGGTGGTGAGTTCTCCTCTGGCGTCCTTGAGACGTTCTGCCAGGATGAGGGCATCGCCCAGTCGTTCACGATTCCGGCCTCTCCGCAGCAAAATGGGATCGCTGAGCGTCGCATTGGCCTGATCATGGAGGTTGCTCATACCTCCATGATCCATGCGGCAGCTCCCCATTTTCTGTGGCCGTTTGCGGTCCGATACGCCGTGCATCAGCTCAACCTCTGGCCCCGTGTCTCTGCTCCAGAGACCTCGCCCACACTTCGTTGGACGGGACAGCCTGGTGATGCGTCGTCGTTTTGGGTCTGGGGCGCGCTCTCCCTTGTTCGCGATACCAAAGCGAGCAAGCTCTCCCCTCGCACTCTCCGCTATGTCTTCCTGGGCTTCCCCACTGACGCTCCACCCTGGCAGTTCTACCACCCTGCCTCGCGTCGTGTTCTGTCCTCTCAGGATGTCACCTTTGACGAGTCGGTCTGTTACTACCGACTTCACCCGCACGCGTCCCACCCGGTCCCTCTCGCACCTCTCTTCTTGGTACCAGTCCCCCCCCCCGGTAGAACCCCTTCCCCCACAGGGTCCTGCTCCCTCAGGTGTGTCCCAGGTAGACCCACCCCCCTTGGATGAGCCAGTTGAGATCTCTTCTGACTCCTCTGACTCACCTGAGGGGGGTGACGCCGTCGCCGACGACACGGCGACCACTCGCCGCACCCTTCGCTTGGAGACCCCCCCGGGTTTCACGCCACGGCCGTCTTCGCCGCCTCCGCAGCCTGCTGCTGTGGACTCTGGAGCTGAGACTACTGGAGCTGGGGCTGGGGGTGGTGAGTCCAGGGGTGCCCGCTCTCCTCGTCTGGCTACACCCCCCGGGTTCCCACCTCTGCCGTCTTCGCCGCCTCTGCAGCCTGCTGCTGTGGACACTGGAGCAGAGACTGAGGGTACTGAGCCTGGGGGTTGCTGGGACTGAGGGTACTGAGCCTGGGGGTGCTGGGACTGAGGGTACTGAGCCTGGGGGTGCTGGGACTGAGGGTACTGAGCCTGCGAGTGCTGAGACCGAGGGTCCTGCCTCAGCAGTTGATAGGGCGGAGACTCACTTCACGACGGGACTGGACTACGGAGGAGGGTATGTCGTTGTGCGGATGATCCTCTTTGTGCCTCCTG